ATCATTATCATCATCACCATCATCATCATCATCATCATTGTGTATTTCCATCGACATACATTTATATCCTTTTCGATAACACAATACTTCAATTTCTACTACTCACTGATAGAACATTTATTCAATTCAATGTTTCCTTCATTTTCTACTATATTTGTTTTTTTTTTCAAAAATTTTGCCCTTCCTAAAATTATTTTAATAAATTTTTTTTTGCACATTGAAAAATTTAAAAATAAAAGAAAGAAAAGTTTAATTTTATTTAACGAAAAATGCGAAAAAAAAAACGATTTAACATTGGATACTAATAATGAATGGAATATTTGTTTTAGCAATATTAGATTATAAATAGATTACTTGCTTGAATAGTTTGATTGATATTTTGCTTAAAAATGATATCATTAATCTAATATTTATTTATTTCCGATATAAGATAATATGAAATCGTTTTAGTAAATTCAATTTGCTAAACATCTGATAATACAACTAAACTAATTTTGTTATTTCTTCATTTCTGCTACAAATAATAAATGTCACATCTTTCTTTCCGTTATCTTCCGAAAAATTAATTCCGCGGTATTTTCAGGAATCTTTTACGGGATTAGCAAAATTAGATGTGGATATACGTAATATTTGCTCTAGCAAAGATGACAATTGCTAGGGAATGCAAAAATGACGAGTGTGAAAAGCGATGGCCTGGGGCAATATGTCGAAATGGACGATGTGCATGTCCACAAGATAGTATTAGGTTAGTAAGTGTATGATAATTATTATGTAAAAAGACAGATAGAACCATAAAAGTGGACATTTTCTCACATTGAAATACGAGGATAGACAAAACCGCGACAGCGGAGATACTTTCCATATTGAAATATGAGGACAGACAAAACCGTGACAGCGGAGATACTTTTCATATTGAAATATGAGGACAGACAAAATGTTCAAAAAATATATTAAAGAAAAAATTAAATACAGCAATGCAGAAGAAAAAGTGATTCCAATGGTTGGATATGTTTATCGCTGATAGATGCAAGTACGGGAATGCTTGGACCACCGTTTACATGTCCATTACCGAATGGTGCCGGATATCGATCCATACTGTATCGTAATAATGAACCGGTATTTTGTCAAACAATCGACGAGAGAAACTGTCCAGAAGGATATGAATGCATACAATCAATTGGACTTAGTACAACAACAGGAAATGGTGTTTGTTGCCCAAGAAAAGGTAATTTAAAATTTTGAAAAAAAAAAAAAAAAAAGAAATTCTTTTTTCCATCTTTTTCTTTTTAAATTTTATCTTATTTTTTATAATTTATCTGAATTTAGAAATAACATTTGGTAGTTTCAGTTTTTTTTTTCTTTTTTTCTTTAAATAAGATGATAAAATTTTATTTTGTTTTTTTTTTTCTTAAATTCGATTTTACAAATTCATCTAAAAATCAATCTTTTCTTTCTTTCTTTTCTTTTTTTTTTTTTTTTGAAGCAACTAAAATATGAATTATTGGGATATGTTTGCAGAGACAGCTTGTCTTCAGCCAGTTTGTCAATCAAAAGATGGATGGCTTATTCGATGGTATTTTAATGGTGAAACATGTGAATCATTCAGATGGAATCCGGAAGTTCAAACAAGCGCAAATAATTTTGTGACTAAAGAACATTGCCTGTCATATTGTGCACTGGTAATCAATCAATCAATCAATCAATCAATCAATCGATCAATCA